ACTGCTCTGCCCCTTCCCAGTCTCCAAGCATCAGCTCACATCTGACCTTCGATGAGGGCTTCTTGGACCACCCTGTCTCAACTAACCATAATCAATTAAGACTTCAGTAGTTGGGCCAGTGCTGCACAAAGACTATCCTACTTCCAACAGATGAATTCTAACAAGACATTTTCAAGTCAGGTGTGGGGGTGCACGCCTATAATCCCAGCACTCAGGAGGCTGAGGCAGGAGGATCACTGTGAGTTCAAGACCAGCCTGGACTGCATCATGAGCTCAAGCCCAGCCGGAACTACATAACAAGAACCTGTCTCCAGAAAACAAACAAAACCACCAGGAAAAACTGAACGCAAACTGGGTATTAGATAATACTAAGGAATTATTTAATTGTGATGTACAGTGTAACAGTATTGTACTTATATTTTTAAAAGATGTCAAACACCATCATACAGTGTTATTCTTTAAAATATTGCAGGGCTGGGGATATAGCTCAGTGGCATAGCACCTGCCTGGCAAGTGCAAGATCCTGAGTTCAATTCCTGGTACCAAAGGGGGAAAAAAAACACTCCAACATAATAAAACAGCCACACTGCTACCCTGTGAGTGTCCCCCCATGCCCAGCCCGCCTTCCTGTACAGCACTCGTCAGGACCTGACATGCTGGGTCTTTCCCCCCGTGTGTCCCCATTAGAAGGTGACCCCATGAGGCTTGGCGTTTGCCGTGTCCTCCGCCCTTTGAAGGTGCCTGACCCAAGCTGGGTGCTGACGACACGTGTGCTAAGTGAGTGGATGGGTAGCCTCGTGGCTTCCTCCCCTCCCCTCCCCCAAGCCCCCATCCCAGGCGTCTACACAGAAGTCACCGAAGCCACTGACCAAGCTCACCCCACCCTCCAAATGGACCCCTGCATGTGTGGACTCCTCCTGCTCACGGTTCCTCCAAACTTCCTGCCTCCACGACATCTGCAGGCCATGGTGGGCCAAGCCACCAGGACCCTTCCCAGAGGCACCTGGTCCCGCAGGAAGTGTGGCGCTGAGCCCTGCGCAGATGACCCCGCCCCCGCTGGAGTCCCGCCGCCCTTTCCCTCCTTCCTTTCCCGCTTTGGTGCACACGCGCAGCCAGGTTCCTTTAGAAACAGAACCTTAGCGGCTGAGCGGCTGCCCATCCCGGACTACATTTCGCACACTCCCTTGTCGCCGGATGTGTGGCCGGGGCGGGGCAGGGGAGGAGAGCGGTGGAATCTTGGACCATCCCCATATGCAGGAGAGCCACGTATCCATCCGGGTGCTGCCCAGAATAGGAACCTCCTTGCTCTCCATTTTCCCTGGTGATTATGAACCCATTCTGACCATGTGTGTGACAATACCTTAAGGAATGGAAAAGCAACGGCATAGAAGCACCCTGAGACCCTCCTGACCTACCAGAGCAGAGCTGCCCACCTGACTGGAAATAATGCTGTAATTGTAGATCTTTTTGTTATAGCAGCTTAATGTGTACCCTGACACATTTACTCTGCATGGGAAAGACTTCTTGTATGACAGAACCTCTGGTTCTACTTGGATACATAGCTGTCCACTATAAACTACATTTCCCAACTTCCTTTGCAGCTAGCTATGGCATGTGACTAGTTCTGACCAATGGGACTTGAGCAGGGTATGTCAACTATAGGAAGTAGCCTTAAAGAGAAACAATATGCCTGGCTTCACCCCTTCCTCTTTCCTGCTATCAGGAATGAGGATATAATGGCTCCTCTCCAGCTTCCCTCTGGGGCCATGAGATGATCTTGGGAATGGAAGCATTCATAGCAGGTCTTCCAGGAAGCTGGAGCAGGAGGCTGTAAGAGTGACTCCGAGTCCCTCAAGGTGGATGGAAAATTAGGCAGACATCTTACAGCGCTGGAGTGCAATGCTAGAGGAATCCGATTGCCTGGCCCTAACCACTGCTGGAATCGCATTTCCAAAGGAGACCACACCCAGCGTGGCTGAGGACATCCTCCTGCCTTCCTCTGATGCCAGCCCCCCCATGCCAGAAGGGCACAGCGAGTGTGTCTTTGCTCTTCTGCCCAGGACGAGCAGCCAGGGCCCCCAGATGAAAAGGGGATCCCAAGAGAAGACAGCCCTCACTTTGCAGAAGGCTCCAACCTGGGCAGCTCCATGCCAGTCAGCTGAGAGAGGCAGCCCTTGAAAAGGGCCTTTGTTTTTTGCTTTGTTTTGTTTTGTTTTTTGTCTTTTTTTGAGACAGGGTCTCACTATACAGTTCAGGCTGGCCTTGAGCTCACTTTGTAGCCCAGGTTGGTCTCAAACTTGGAATGATCCTCCTGCCTCAGCCTCCCAAGTGCTGAGATTACAGGCGTGGGCCACCACACCTGGTGAGGGCCTTTGTTTTTTTGTTCTTCTGTTTGATGCTAAGGATGGAAACCAGAAAACATGGAGCTACATCCTAGCCCTTTGTATGTAGATTGATTGATCACAGTACTGGGGATTGAAACAGGGCCTGCACCCCCTTTTTTGTACCAGGAATCGAACTCACAACTTCTGGCTTGCCAGGCAGGTGCTGCGCCACTGAGCTATCTCCCTGGCCCTCCCTTCTATTTCTTGAGACAGGGTCTTGCTGAGTCACTAAGTTGCCCAGCCCAGATGTGTGTGTGCCTCATGAAAGAGGCCTGAGGGGGCCTCACTTCCCCTTCCCACCGCTGAGCTTAGAGTGCAAACCCATCTGTGGCCAGGAAGCGCCCTCACCGGGGCCCCTGGACGTCTCCGCCTCTGCAACCACAGGAGGGAGCTGGGCTGGTTCTCTGCAGGCGCGGGGCGTCTGCCCAGTCTGCCTCCCGACCTTGCGTCACCGCCCGACTTGGTCCTGCCTGACCCTGGCTCTGGGGTGACGGGTCCCCCCGTGCTAATCACAGCTGGAGTCTCCGTCGGCTGGGAGCTGGGAGCAAGGACAGGACGGAGATGGAGCACCCCGAGGCGAGGTGCTGGGGTTGACCCACGCAGCGGTCAGAGGGGCCTTGGCTGTGAGAAGCCACCCTGGGAGCTGCAGGTGAGCGGGTGGGGGGGCCAGTCCCATCTCACTCAGGTGTCTCACCTGGAGGCCAGGCTCACAGCAACCTCTGTGCCACCCAGGACGAGAACGGGGAGGCCCTGCCCCAGCACTCCGTGGGAGCTCCCAGTTCCTCCAGAGGCAAAAGGGGGCAGAGGCAGGAGGATGGAAACCACAGAGAGGCCGCAGCCTCCACAGTCCGTCCCCAGCTCTCCAGTGCCTCCCCCCTGCTTCACATGCCTGGGGTGTCAACCGCCTTATCGGGACAAGGTCAGCGACCCCCTTATCTGCAGCCCCAGGGACCAGCAGAAGAGCAAACAGCAGCTGACAGGTGTCCCAGGGCCGGGGGAGGCAGGGACAGCCACCAGCTCGAGGCCAGGGCAGCCCACCTTGGAACCCTGCCCGCATCCCTGGGGACACAGTGCTGGCTGAGGCAACCTAGGGAGGCTTCAGGGTGGAGGCGGCCCTCACCCTGGGTTTTGAAGGCTGTGTATGAGCTAGAAGCAGGGAGGACACAGCAGGGGACAGAGTCCATACTGCAGAAGCCTGTAGCACACAGTAAGTGCATGAAGTGTGATAAATCCTAGTTCCTGTTGCTAGAGAGGAATGCCTAGGGGATCCTAAAAACAGGCGTTGGGGTCCATAGTAATAATCCTCAACCAGCGGGAAGGCAGCACAGAGGCGGGTGGGTAGGACAGAGCCAGCCTCGGGTCTGGCTGCATCCAGCTCACGATGTCTTGGAAGACCAGAGAAGTCACAAAGTGTGACCCCAAGCAAGCAGGGCCGGTCCCAAGAGTAGGGGAGGGGAGAGTCCCTGGCAATGGGGGCTACTTCTGGGGTTAAAGGGTGCGAGATGAGGCAAGGGAGCTCTGTTCCTGCTCTTGGGAAGAAGAGGAGCTGGAAGGCGGGAAGCGCCTGGGCGAAGGAAAGAAGGAGTGGCCCCCAGGCCTCCTATATCCGGGACATGCAGCCAGAGGCCGGGAGAAGGGAGGGCACGTGCCCCAGGTCACACAGCCACGTGAGGCTGGAGCTGGGTTCTGCCGTGGGCTGTGATGCTGAGTGGGCCCCGTTCTCTTGGAGCTTTGTCCCCTGGCAGGGCCAAGGGGTGAGCAAAGGTGTCCCCAAGCGGCTCCAGCAGGGTGGAGAGGGGGACCCAGGGCACAGGACCCCAGCCCTGGCCACCTTCCCCATAGGAGACGCTTTGCTGCCCCCTCGTGGCCAAAAGGAGTAGCACTTCCCGTCCGTTTGCTAAGAGCTGCTGCCCGGACACGCAGGTGCCCATTCTGCCTCTTGCTCTGACCCACACGGGCGTGCAGACGACCTGAGGGTCCCACCCACCAAGTCCCACACGGCGTGTTGCGCTAAGCAATGCAGTGCAGTGATACTGAAAATTTCGCTTGTGAAGACGCCATGTGGCCTATTCCAGCTCTCAGAAGCAACAGAGGGGCTGGGGATTTAGCTCAGAGGCACAGTGCCTGCCTGGCAAGTGCATGGTTGTGAGTTCGATTCCTGGTACCGGAAGAAAAACAAACAAGAAGCAACAGATATGGGGCTGGGGATATAGCTCAGCGGCATAAGCGCCTTCCTGCAAACGCAAGGTCCCGGTACCCCGACTCCCCAAAAAAACCAGATAGCTGGGTCGCCCTCCTTCCAGACCTGGCTGACCTCCAGCTATGGGGATACCTCCTAGGAGCTTGGCTCTGTCGGCCCTTTTTTGAGACTTGACGTTTGTCTTTTGTTTTGTTTTGGGGTTTTTACTTTGTGTTTTGAGGTAAGGTCTTGTTTTGTAGCCCAGGATGACCTCAAACTCTCAGCAATCCTCCTGCCTCAGCCTCCCAAGTTCTAGGATTACAGGTGTGCACCATCATACCTGGTTTCCTACAACGTGGGACCCTAAGTCATTTATCCCAGAGTGGACTATGTGCCCCCATGAGCTCCAGGTACTTCGAAGATGGGACCCGCAGAAGTCACCAACTGCTCATAAGGGTTTATTAGCCAGGGCTGCAGGGCTTTCCCCAGGAGGGGGCGATGCAGACGTACACACAGCTCCACTGCCATCTGCTGACCCAATGCTCCTGGGCTGCCACTGGGTGTCATGCACCTGGGGGGCCTCAGCTCTGGCCCAGCTGGGTCTGCAGAGCCTGCAGCTGCTGGCTGTCGATGTTGTTTCCTCCACACACAATGACCACGACGGAAGCCAGCGAAGGGCACAGGCAGCCCTCGGCCTGCAGCTGCCCCAGAAGGCCTGAGTAGATGGCAGCTAGGGCCGCCCCACAGGCAGGCTCCACCAGCATGCGCTCATCATCTGCAGGGGAGGAGGGGTGCAGTCGGTGCTCAGCAGACTGAGGCACTGCAGATCCATCTATCCAACCATCCACCATCTGTCCACTCATCCATCCACTCACCCACCCATCTATCCATCCATCCATCCATCCATAAACCCATCCTTTCACCCACCCATATATTCATCCATCCATCCACCCACACATGCACCCACTCACCTATCCATCTATCCATTTACCCACTCACCCACCCACCCATCCTCCCACTCACCCATCCACCTATCCATCCACCCACTCACCTACCCTACGCATCCATCCATTTACCTACACACTTGTCCACTCACCCACCCATCTACCCAACCATTCATGCACCTATCCATCCATGCATCCACCACCCATCCATCCATCCATCCATCCATCAGCCTATCTCTCCTGCAATCCATCATGCCTGACCCTCTCTCCATCCATCAGCCTAGCCATCTATCTCTCCAGCTGCCCACCTTTCATCTTTCCATCCACCTATCCACTCCTCTGTCCATCCATCAGTGTAGCCATCAGCAAGGTATCCATCCATCCATAAGCCATCCACCCATCCCCACATCCATTACTATGTTCATTAATCAATGTGCCCATCCATCCATCCATTTCTGTCATTCATTAATCATGACCCTGTCGTTCCATCCATCCATCCATCCATCCATCCCTTCACTATCCATCTATCCATTACGCAGCCTCCCCACTCATCCATCCGCCCATTCACTCTCCGAGTATTTATGGAGCCAGGCCCTATGCTGGGAAGACCCTGGAACACAACGGTGAATAAGGCACCCCAGCCCCCACCCTCATAGCGCTCATAATCTAGTGATAAGGACAGGGAAGAACCAGGCAGTTATGAGCAGGCGCGGATGCATAGGAGGTCCCCAGCCCCTGCGGGGTATGGGTACATCCGGGGAGGCATCCTGGAGGAGGCGGCAGGAGGATGAGAGAGCCCTGGGGCAGGGAATGCAGTGGGGGATGAGGCCCGGATGGAGATCCAGGAGGGGCGGAGCCTGCGCAGGTGTCCCGAGGTTGGAGAGGCGCGCATGCGCCTTTCCCTCCACCCCGTCCAGCTCCTGGCTGGGCGCAGAGTGACTCCTGTGTGCTCCGCCCTGTGCCGGGCGCCGAGGTACTAGGGGAGCTGCCTCGGGGACCAGGGGCCCCGGGGGCTGCGAGCTGGGCGGCGGGGCGGGGTCGCTCACCCAGGAACCGCTGCACGGCGCTCACGGCCTCCGCGTCCTCCACCACCCGGGACAGGATCCGGCACTGCTGGGCGCACTCCAGGGCCCGCGCGGTCACCGTCTTGGCTCCCAGACTCTTGGCCACGCTGCGGACGGCACCGAGAGAGCCCGGGAACGCCAGTCACAGCCCGGGGCCCGTTCGTTTAATCCAGGACTGTTCCCCGCCTCCGCTGTAGCTAAGCGGCACTGAGCGTGCTGCGGGCTGTGCTCTGCTGTTTCAACCCTCGCACCCGCCCTTTGCGTGAGAAATGTTACTGGCTTCATTTTGCGGGAAGCAAGTGACACTCCCAGGGGTGAAGGAACTAGCTCGGGGACGCACAGCCTGCCTGCTGCGAGCGGAACGTGAATTCCAATCCAGGCAGCCTGGCCCAGAGCTCACGGTCTTCGCCTCTATGCTTGAGATCCCGCTGCCTGCTGGGAAGGGGCCATGTGTTTGGGGTCCAGAGAGGACTGGGGGACCCTCTGACCGCAGTCGGGAGCCACCTCACTTGCGGTCACTTCTAAGGCAGCCACAGGAAAGGAGCCTGGTGGCCATGGTGAAGTTGGGGGACAGGGGTGAGGCTGGACCGCTGAGTTCACCTGCTTGGCCCTTTTCATGGCTTGAGTTAGAAATAGTTCCTGAATGGGGCGAGGCTCAGGAGTACAGCCCTTGCCTCGTAGGTGTGAGGCCCTGGGTTCCATCCCAGCACCACAGAATACTTTTTAATATTTAAAAATAATAAAATCGCCGGGCGTGGTGGCGCACCCCTGTAATCCCAGCACTCGGGAGGCTGAGGCAGGAACATCGTTGGGAGTTCGAGGCCAGCCTGGGCTACGAAGTGAGCTCAAGGTCTGCCTGAACTGCATAGCGAGACCCTCTCAAAAAGACTAATAATAATAATAATAATAAAATAAAGCTGGGCGTGGTGGCACATGCCTGTAAATCCCAGCAGTTGGGAGGCTGAAGCAGGAGGACTGTTGCAAGTTCAAGACCAGCCTGGGCTACAAAGTGAGCTCAAGGCCAACCTGAACTGCATAGGGAGACCCTGTCTCAAAAAGACAAAAAAAATAATAATAATAGTAATAAAATCAGTCACAAATGCAATGGAGAAAACGTGTCCTAATATGTTGTCAGGAAAAAAATGAAACATGTTCATGATATAATAAGTACTAAAACCTCCAGGTGTGGTGGCTCACGCCTGTAATCCCAGACTTGGTAGGCTGATGCAGGAGGATCATTGAGAGTTCAAGGCCAGCCTGGCCTACAAAGTGAGCTCAAGGCCAGCATGAACTATATAGCAAAACCCTGTCTCAAAAAGACCAAAAAAAAA